CAGACTTTCAGATTTCTTTGCGCGAAGAAGGAAGAGTAGAACAGTGACAGCAGGGCTTGTGATGATTCCGAACACCTCCAGCAGCTTTTCGCAAACATCTAGACTAGTGGGCCAGTATCCTCCCCGTTGGCAACTCCAAAATGCCTTTGAAGACTCCGTTATTGTGAATCCGGAATTCAACAAGTTAAGTGACTTATGAGGCTGTTGGGAATTTATCCAGCACCAATTGGAAGCTAGGATACGTGAAGGCGTTTCGTAGCCAACCAGCGCCCGAGGACGACAAATATACATGCGGACGCTGTAGCCGGAATGAATGAACATAACAGGCTCATGGAATATACAAACTTAACTTACTTGTCTGATGTTTTTTTTAATACTTGCATGAAATATTACGCGCAAGCAGCCGCATTCTAACTTATCGACCTTCATGACAGAAATTTTTTTTCAAATTGTATTTTTCACCTAAGCAAATATAAAAGTCTGATTGACGGTATACAAAACTCTAGTATTTCAGGATAAAAACAAATTCTTTTCCAGTATTTTAGTCAGGAAAATGTTGGACTCGTATATGTGTTCTCGTATTTCTTAAGTAATATACCCTAAACCTGTTAATCAATTTTGCCTGCTAATGCACTGCCCTTAATAACACTAAATATTGTAAATTAGGTCCCCCTAAATAGGCCAGGAAGCATATTCTGGAACTGACGAAAACATCGAGGATCGTATATTACATTGCGTTTATGGTGCATGACTTATCGACTTTAGGTGGCATAGGCCTACTGCAAACCACGAGACTTCACAACCCTTGAAGCAGCCGGCCGCTTTCCTTATAATTACTTAGCTAAGGACCACACTTCTTAATTCTAACTGATACGCTAGCCATGAATTGGCCCATTTAATGATCTTACGGCCGTTTCCAGAACAAAATTCATTTCCATGGCCCGTGGTAACACCACATTTGTATCAGAACAGCCGGTCCGCATAATACTTCACATCAGTGACGATTTGGAAGACACCAGTTAAAGGCTGGGGTCAGTTGGCGAGTTTAACCAATAGTAAACCATGTATCACAGGTAACCGTTTTTTATTTATAGAAAATGAGGGCTCCGACATAATAATGTCCTGTGTAAATGAAATGAGCCTGGTAGACAGTTTGTGAATTTGTGGATATTTGTTAATGAAGTCCAGAAACGCGTAACATACGTACTATGCATATGTTACCCGTTTCTGCTATTGCTTTTTCCTCATATCCCTGATTAGGAATCCGTGTCCTTCTCCGAAAGCGTACTGAAGATCAACATCGTGATCTTTGTTTAGCAGATACCTGGTAATCGAGGACCCTCATACCCGATTTTCTTGTTTGAGGATTCAGTTCCGCAAATACAGCCTTGGCCACGAATACTGAAGATCAAAATCGATGACATTTTTAAAACAGATACTTGATAATCGAGGACACTGATGCCCGATTTTCTTGTTTGAGGATTCAGTTCCGCAAATTTAACCCTGGCCGTCAGTTATCCTCGGGCTGCCGACCTGTACTTGCATCCGCAAATGCACTTTGGGGTGGCGTGCAATGAAAAGGCATCATTTGTCTGGTTACTTGGTAAGCTGTACGTAGGACTGACGAATGCCATTTCAGCTGCATAGTACTGCCATCTGTAGCGCAGCGCGATCATGGCATGAGTGTCTAAGGAACGTTATCATCCTTAATAAGTATGCTTTACGTCTCTTGACTTCTCCCATTGTATCCAGCAGCCACGCGTACGCCAAAACCAGTGATAACAACTATCAAGGTGGTACGGTACTATAAAGCAAAAACAGGAAAGGGTAAATAGTGTACAAACCTCAACCATGGACACACCAAGTCAAGAGCGAGGGTAGTCTATACAAGGGAACGACACAAGTTCAAGAATAACGCCACGCAGGACGAAAATAGTCTTGAGAAACCTTGTGTGTGTTATATGATTCACGTAGCATCATGATTTGTGTGAAACACCAGCGCGAACGGGCGTGGGTCATGAACAGAGGCCATATGAATGTGTCAGAGACGGGCGTGGCTGGACGATTGGTTCTCGGGGTAGCCGCGGCAGCTGGGTAAAGAAGGCGGAATGGACAGCTGGCATGTCACTTCGTGGTGATTGCCATGATAAAGGTGACAATATGAAATGTGAAAATCGAAGAAGAGGCCAAGGAGGGGGCAGTATTCAGTTATGTGCAGTCAGTCATGGGCGGCCAGCATTCCAGGGAGGAAGGGGGCAGACTTCGAAAGAGGTAAACAATCATTTTGCAGGTTGGACGGGAGTTTTGTTGGAAAAGAGATGTGGATAATTCCAAACTTGTTCAGCCGGAAATAACAGTACCTTAAGGGGGAGCGAATTATCAGCGAAGGGATGAAAGCAAAGTACGGAAAATAACGAAATGTACAGTGCGGCACAGGGACATTTCTTAAATCACCATTATCGTCCACATACCTATGATGTCCTTATTTGCGTGGGCCGATCCGATGATTTTGTCTGTCACAATATATGTCCTATCGTTCATTTGCTCAAATGTGCATTTCCTTACCAGATGATCAAAACATCGTTCGTCTGGACCGCGACTGGAGCACGTACTGCGGAGATCAACAGCCCATTGGACCTCTGGTACGCGCACTTGTCTCCGCATTAACACATGTCTTCTACTAGATGTCCTATCTATCACTGTTTATTCGACTCTGATATTTTAGGTTAGCTCTCCTACATGCTTTGAAACCTTGACTTTCGTTTTAAGTACGGAACTCGTGTTTGTCTTTCACTTGTATCACTCATCGCGTTGCCATCTAAACACTTCTCTCCAAGCCTGTATGATGGCGGAAGTAAGGGTTTGCATTTCATAGCTTCTAATTCCCTTCTTTCTTTCTCCAAACCACTGCCCACTGTATCCTTTTTGCGGCGCTTCTAGATGAGCGAAATGCCGGCGGTTTACGTGAATGCCAACTACGTGAAGGCCTGCTGTTACGATGCCCTGGGACGGGCACAGGTTGCGTCGAAGACCAGCCTACCGGAGTACATTGCCACTCAGGGACCGCTCACGCACACTGTGGCCGACTTTCTCTACATGGTGCATCAACAACGCTCTCCAGTTGTCATCATGCTCTGCAAGTATGTCAGGCCTTCTTTCCGTACCAAATTCTAACCAACCTGGCGTGTTTTGTCCCCACCTTTTGTTCTGTCCCTCTTGTAAAAGTTTTAAATTTTCTTTATATTCCTGATTTTAGGGCATTCATTCACATCATACGCAGCAAACATGAAAACTGCTAAGCTCTCTTAAGTTGGGTTTACCACCAGCTACTCGCATCTAACAGTCATAGAGCATAAGGCGTTGGAACGACTGCACTGTTTTCAGTAGGGATACCCCAGAGCACATGTGATGTTCTAGTAGGCCATTCTTGAGGTTTTTAGCATTTATTTACTGTAGCACCTCTTGATCGGCATCGCCTCGAAGCACCTTTCCACGAATAAGAGTTGTAGTACAAAACCGTACACCGATCTGTTTCAGGGCATACCCGTCCTGGTTTATGTCTTTGCGAGTTTGTTCACGTACAAGCGTATGTTGCAAGACGCGAGTTCAAACCTTGAGTGTGGCAACAATTTCAGCGGCAACAATGTACGTGGGAATCGTTAGCTGACGAAGGCTATTAAGCCAGAAATAGCTAACCTAGCGTCCCTCTGTCTTTGTCAGTAATACCTAAAGAATAAAAGTTATTTCAAGGGTGTACCAACAACTTTTCTTTGTTACCTCCAGTTAAGTGCCCCTGAAATGACCTTTTCATTTCTGTCCTACATGGACAAGAACAATCGGTTCAAAGTGCTGTTTAACCACAGAATGCCCAATAGTAACACACGTTGCAATGCAATACATTTACTGCTCATCCGACAGTGGCGTGGCCGTGCTCCAAGCACATGTGCTGGCTAAAAGACCGAACACATCTTTTGCAGAGTTTCCACCGCTTCAAGATGCGCCGCTAGTGGTTTGGCACATCATTATGCCCGTCTGTTTTGTGAATTCGAATTTAGACATTATTTTCAGTATTTGCCTAGAGCCGACGTTCTTCAGCGCACTTATTTATAGCAACTCTGGAATAGAGGCTGAAAAGCTTCTGTTAAGGCAGGGCGCAGGGGAAGGACTGACTCCAAGTAAACGCATTAACTTCCTAAGGGATTAATAGAGCTGAACTTTAGAAAGTGGAGTTGTGTCAGGCAGTGGCAGGGAGTCGGCTCTCCCGTTTTCATTTAAAAACATCAACTTCTCGCGCATTGAACAACTCTTTTTGCGCTTGTCAAATTTAGCACCATTGAGGGAGGAAAGCCCAAGTGTGCTCAGTACTGGCCTGACGCAAAAGGCCTGGCAGAGGAAGAAAGGAGTCTAGCACGGACTGTTACCGTGACCCTGCATGAGACGATTACGTCGCCCTTCATGGTGACACGAGTGCTGACGGTGCAGCCAGAAGGAACAGCAGAGGTAGGTGTGCCACGATTTTGTTACTCAAGACAAATACCTCCAAGTCTGTTGTCTTTATTTCCCCCATAGTCACATGCAATCTCCTCTTGATTTAGTATTCTTGATTCCTAGCTGATCTTCTCGGCGGCAGGTAAGACTCGTTGTGCTCCCGGTTTGGCCGTTTCCTATATCTTCCATTGCTACTCAATTGTCCCTCCTCTCTTGCCTGCTTCTCGTGTTCTTCTTGTTGTCGTTGCTGTGGACTTGCTGTGGTTGCCTGCCTGGCGCTTTGTCCTTTGCTGTTTTTCCTTCCTCGCGGACCCCAAGTAGCGCCCAATGCACTTTGAAATTGGCTTTCGGCTTTGTGCTCTTTCTGTTTCGTATGTGACTTCTGTGTTGCTTGCGACTTGCCACTGTCCATCCTTCGTTGAACTAGTGTCTTGTTTTTTCAAGTTTATCTAATTTTGCGTTCAATGAATAACTGAACCCTCTGCTAGATGTTAGGACGTTTTCCGCTTTCTTGCGTATGCCACGGTGCCTGACGGTTCAAGCGGGATCGCACGCAAGCTGCCGGAGACGGCATGTCTTACTACGAACCTACACTCTGAGAGTTCCATAAAG